TTTTTTTTTTTTTTTATGCAGACTTGATTGAGAAATAAAATTAAAAACGAAAAAAACTACTTTCTCTGTTTACCTGAAAAATTTTTACACTTTGCTATAAGGGACTTAAAAAAAAAAAAAAAAACAAAGAAACATTTCATACACAAAAAGGGAAACTCCCAAGAGAAGGCTTAAAATACAAAACACAAGCAAAAGCTCGCTGTTATATATATATATATATGCGCCTTTTCATACGTATATCGACGTGTAACATTCTTTTACGCGCTTTTCACCTCTCTTTGCGCATCCGCTCGCTTTGCCTCGTTTTTCCACACTTGGCCAACTTGCATAATAAGTGAACACGAGCACGTGTGCACATATTTCACGTAAGCGAACTTGTAAGCTTTTTGTCCCCGGTGAACAAACCTTCGCGAAACTCTTGTTTAAAGAAACCATGGCAACATCCGAAGATTTAAAGCAGCTGAGGTCCGACTGTACCTACCGATCCAAGTTGGCCGAGCAGGCTGAGAGATATGACGGTGAGTGAGCAGAGTGACTTGACTGGCGCTGAGATAGGAGATGCGTGTGGCGGCGCAAACGATTAAGGAAAGTCATTTCCTGCACTTGTTGCCTCATGACGGCGTGTGTGCCTTTAAACGCTTCACTGCATTCGTGCCACAATTCCCCTCCCCAAATCTGCATGTCGAAATTGTGTAAAACTGCGCCATGTGTTGCCTCACCCTTCTCCCCATGTGTAACGACAATTGTGTGAAGCATGTGTTGATTGAGGGAAGGCGCAAATGGCGCAAGTGGTCTGCGTGTACTCTCGGAGGTGTGACATAGAAGAGTAGTGTGTGTGGTGTAAAATTCATTTCATTCGCCCATTCCTACACCTGCCCCCTGTAGAAATGGCCGACGCGATGAGAACCCTAGTTGAGCAATGCGTGAACAACGACAAGGATGAGTTGACCGTTGAAGAGAGGAACCTGCTGGTACGTCAGAAGGGAGGGCATATTACGCTGGGGATTTTGTCACATCTTATTCCCCAAGGCTTTTGCATGTGTGCGTGGTTATGCCATCAACATGGGCAAGCGTGGTGCCGCGTGTAGTACACACACCGTGCCTATTGTATATTTGTCGTAATATATACCTTCTACTTGCAATGCTCATGCGCAACACCTTTCTTCCCTCTACAGTCCGTTGCATACAAAAACGCCGTCGGTGCAAGAAGAGCCTCATGGAGAATAATTTCCAGCGTTGAGCAAAAGGAAATGAGCAAGGCAAACGTGCACAACAAGAACATTGCGGCCACGTACAGGAAAAAAGTGGAAGAGGAATTAAATAACATATGCCAGGACATCCTAAACCTGCTCACCAAGAAGCTAATACCAAACACGTCCGAAAGTGAAAGCAAGGTGTTTTACTACAAAATGAAAGGAGATTATTATAGGTACATTAGCGAATTTTCTTGTGATGAAGGAAAGAAGGAAGCATCGAACTTTGCACAGGAAGCTTACCAGAAGGCAACTGATATTGCAGAGAATGAACTTCCATCGACGCACCCCATACGTTTAGGCCTTGCATTGAATTACTCCGTTTTCTTTTATGAGATTTTAAACCAGCCTCACCAGGCATGTGAAATGGCCAAGCGTGCATTTGACGATGCTATCACCGAGTTCGACAACGTAAGCGAGGACTCGTACAAGGACTCCACGTTGATTATGCAGTTGCTGCGGGATAACTTAACCTTATGGACTTCGGACTTGCAGGGAGACCAGACTGAAGGTAAGCAGGGAACAGTCACTAGTAGGCCCCTTTAGCCTGTTTTTGGCCAATTTTGCTATTTTGGCTATTTTTCCACTTATATCGACATACCATTTCGCTATTTTTTTTTTTTTTTTTTTTTTTTCTGCAGAAAAATCCAAGGATGAAGGCCTTGAATAAATGGCTAGCTATCCCTATTTGAGTAGCGCGTGCATGTATGTGTGTGTGTTTGTGTGTACATGTAGGAAGTGCACAATTTATAGGAAGCAGGAGTCCAGAAGTGCGCATGGAAATGCACCAGCAAAGGTGAAAGCAAAGGTGAATGCAGAAGTGAATGCAAAGGTGAATGCAGAAGCGAATGCAAAATTGAATGCGCCATGTATGCACATGTACATGTATGTATACATACACACACACGCACTCACGCACGTACGTGCGCTAGCGTACACGTCCGTGTTCACACGCATGTGCATATATATATTTCTCATCATCCGCGTGACGAAGCACTCATTTCAAGGACGTAGACCCAGTGTGGCAAGATGGTGTAACATATATCATGTGCGCATGTAAGTATGCATATGGAAAAGTGAGCACCTGTGCATGTCCACGTGTACATACACGTGTGCATATGTACTTTGTGTGCGTTCTTATTTATATGTGTTCGAGCTGTGCCATGATCACCTGTGCCTGTGCGTGTGTTCATGCTTATGCTTATGTTTAAGTGTATGTTTAAGTGTATGTTTTAAGTGTACGTGGATGTGTGTGTGGGCTCGCGCGGCGGCGACGGAAGGTGGCGCTCATGCGGGTGTATATGTGTAGTTGTATGTGCGGTAGTATATGCGGCTCATATGTAGACGTGTGTGCTGAAGTATATATGGCTCATATTACAGCCGTGTGTGTGCAGGCCGACGTCTGCCAGCCGCGTATGCAACGTGCATAATACATATAAGCATACATGCCAACGCACGTGTGCAGAGTTGTATGTATACTTATGCACGCACACGCGCACATTGGTGTGCCCTCTTACACCCTTGTGCAACACATACCAGAGATAACGAGAACCAAGTAATTGAGAAGAGAAATTTTAAACCCAAAAAAATTTCCATCGCCTTTTTATTACGCCTTCACGCAATTATTCCCCCTTTTAACTTTCAATAATAATATTATTTTTTACCCACACACATTTTTTCACCACAATATATCCAGTATATTTTATATATCCCATTTTATATATTTTATTTATTCTACTTTTATTTCCCCATTTTTTTTTTTTTTTTT